GGAGGTGAACATATAGCTCCAGGGAGTCTAAATTATTTCACACCTGGTCCTTGGGCCAAGATCCCAGGAAGTGCTGAGCAAGTGGGCATTGAGGATATCCAGCACCTCCCAGGAACTGCTCAGCAACTCTCAGGGTTGGGTGAGACACTAGTTCTAAACACCGACGCAGGCAAAGCTCCTGATGAGGACAAAGGGACTGAAAAGGTGCAAGCCAATATTGTGCTATAAGCTGCTGAAGCTCTTCTAATCACACTTGACTAGTGCGATTCCAATTTTCTCCACCCAATTATTTGGCCCCCCCCCAGCTCATAGGCCATTGCTGGAAAGAGCCACCTCTCTGTGACCTGATCTCCTGGAACACCAAGAGGACTCAAGTTTTCTTGTGCACTGTGGTGCTTCGTCTCCACGCCGATATGTGGCCACATGCTTGGCAAGGGTTGGGCGCCCACCAGTGCTGTCAGACTCAGCAGGAATCGTGGGGACTTTGCATCTTGGAAAAACACAGGCGGGGAGGTGCGGGGCGAGGGGAGAAACGGAAAGGCCTGCGCACGGAGCAGCACAGCAGGGTTTGCCTGGGAATTAAAAATGAAGTCCTTACATTATCTAAATCATCCCCTTAGGTGATGCAGCTCTACTGGGAGGTCATTGACCCTGATGAAGGAGTGGGTTTGTGGTCTGTCTCATCCATCTCCCCCCAGAGCCCTGATGGTGGGGGGTATTGCTTCATTAGAAAGCAACCAAGCGTTTTAAGTTCATCTCTTGTCTTCTGCTGGGAAGAAACATTATTCAGTGCCCAGAACTGACCAAGGCTGCGGGCATTCCAACTGCAAGTCCTGTTATTAAAACTATAAACTGTGAGACCATTAAAACCAGGAAGGGGGCTGGTGGGAAAAAGATTTAGTAAACCTTTGCTCTTCCAATCTTGTCTCAATGCCCCTGCAGGGATTTCAGATCACGTAATCCTCCGGAATGACCCAACTGGGGGGCTACTTTCCCCCATCTTGCAGACAAGCTAATAAATAATCTCTCTCTCTCTCCATATGTAGAAATACTCTCATTGTAAATTCAGTTCTCCACTTTGCTGTCCCAGTTTCATAACCTCAGCAGCTCCTTCCCACTGACAATGAGCATCTGCCTTTTGTTAGGAAGAGAATTGAAAAGTCACGTGGCATGAGAAGCCCTGCTAGGAACAACTTTGTATTTTAGTTTTAAATTGCACAATTAGCATATTTCTAGAAAGCTTTGCAATGTTATTGCTATTGCATTTATTCTTTTGTGTTTTGGTAGGGCTTAGAAAAATCACAGACAAGGGTCTTTGCTAGGTGATGTTCAAAGAAGTAGTGGGGAAGAGAAGAGCTTAGTTGCAATCTGCCTGGAAAAGCAGATGAATGGCTCTGGTTGAGAGTGAGAGGAAAAGGTAACAGAAAGAAGAGCTTAGCAGGAATCAGCAGTCATAGAAAAAGCAGAAGCTGTCATTTAAAGCCATGTGAAGGAGCTCCATTCACCTATGTGCATACCTATTTGCCTCAATGCATTACCAGATGTACTGGCCTGAATTTGACTGGCCACCATTGATTATAAAAGGAATTGCAATTGCTCAGTATCTTTAAAAATCAGTCCTGTTTAGCCCTAGGGAGCACATCTTGCATTTTACTCCTCTAATTGCTATCACAACCATGTATTTTAAATGTCTCACTCCCATTGCCCTGGTTTTCTTGTCAGTCCAACCTGCTGCTGCATTTGGCCTTCTCAGGAAAAACTGATGTGGTAAAGGAGAGCTGAGAGAAGCATCCAGTGGAAGGGTGTTGGCAAAGGGTTACAGCAGTTCAACGATCAAAGTCTTCCCTCGTGTTTAAAATGACAGATTTCTGCCCCAGTGACCGATCATGATCAGATTCCTTTCCATTTCTGGAGGACTATAAAGTAGCGATGCCCAGGAAGACACGGCCTCTCTTGTTGAATGCAGGGCTTGCTCTTGCTCTGCAGCACTGTACCCTGCACGTGGCTGCACCAGGACCTCAACAGAGTCACTCCAGTTTCCTCCCGTGCTAATAGAGGTTAGAGTTTAGCTATAGGATCCTATTAGAGATCCTTTCATGCCACTGTGTGATTATGGAGATGAGTGGCTGAAAGCACACTGAGATTATAATGGAGAATGTTTATTTTGTCGGTAACCCAGCTGGCTGATTCACAGCATTTCAAACTTCTGCAAGTAAATAAATGAAGGGAGCCTGCTTTCCCCTTCTACTCTACAGTGTGTATACATGAGTGTTAGTTCATGTATCAGATTCCTGTACAAAACACACTGTCAGGCTATTAATAATCTGAAGAAACACCTTGAAACTTGACTCAATGAGGGCACATTGCAAATGGACTCTAATGGCTTTTATTTCTCATCTCTGTCACCTCAGATCTAATCAGCCATTTTCTCATTTTTTATCCTATCCAGTCCCCTCTATAATCAGCCAGTAACTCTCCCCTCAGTGCCAAGCAGAGCAAAATGGGGCTGAGCAATGGGGTCAGTTGTAATTTATTAGCAAAGAAAGCTGAGGTGTGCCACAGAGCCCTGAAAAGACTCCCCAGGTGAATCCCCAAGGTAGAGAGGAGATGGAGCCTGGTTAGTGTTTTGTGGCTACTGACCCCCCATTGCGGGCCTGAGCTTAACTGGAGGTTAAGTTAAGGGCTTCAGGTCCTAGGAGGCAAGCATCATTCCAAGCCAAGACAGGGATTTTCCTTGGGAAACAGCAGCTCTCAAAATTTTTCCTTCTGCAGCCCATAAGAACAGGCTTCATTGGCCTATAAGAGGCTCCACCGGCCCCCAAAATGGGTTCTTACTTTGGGGAAGCGTCCGTCAGGGTCTGGACTTGCAAGCTGTAATAATGCATTAGAAAAGGCACTGGGTGGCAACATGCCTGACCTTGAAGGTGGTTCAGGACCAGAAAGCAAGTGTTGACCTTTTCTCCAAAAAGATCCAACATACTCTGCTCCTTGCAAAGGGAAGTGGTTTTAAAAATCAGTACAAAGTGTACTGTGGGATCATTAATGATGTAAAGTGGTTAGGTTTCATATCTACATCTCATCTGAAAAGGGGAAACAAAGCAACAGTTCTTTCCTTGGGAGGAGGGACAGAAGTATGAGGAAACAGATAATGAGATGAACACTGACTGCATTCCAGTACCTGGGTCCTGTCATTTTTCTGAAGATATCTGTGTACCTATCGGTATTAGGTAATAGTAAGTGCTAAGAGGAATTTGCAAAAGTGCCTGTGTACACCTCTGCATCTTTAGGTGCCAAAATACCTTTAAAGCTCTGGGTCTGAGATATCAGCAAGATAGGTAAATGAAGAGAGAGAGGGACCAAGAAGAAAGGAGGAAGGGGCTTCCCTCATGCAAAAGTTCAAAAGCATACAACACTTGAAAAGAGAAGGCATAAGTCCTTCATCTCAGCCACCCTGACATTATGATCTATCTTTTCTGGTTTATTTGGTTATACAAACGTTGATTTAAAAAATACTTTCCGAGCCGCTTGTGGGAATCCAATCTGGTTTTCATAGACAATATGCACACAAAAATAACTCATATTTCTCTTCAAGAGGCACGGAGATATAAAGCTTTTGACTCAAGGGTTTTTTCTCCCTTTTCCCCTCCTTCTTCTAAGTATCTCTTTATTCATCACTTTAATTACCTGATCATAAATTTCTTTAGGGGGTTACTTAGGAAGAAAATTAGCATCAAAGCTTGGCAGTAAATTCCGGGACTTTTGGAGCAGGTCCAAGCTGTTTCACCTGTGATTAATTAGATGATTTTTTTTCTTTAAGTGCCAGAGGGCTGTTGAGGTCTTTAAGCAGTTACATGACTGCTGGCAGCTCAGGAATTATGATTGATGTATTAGTCTGGCGTTTTAAGACTGCAGCTTCTTTCTGGAGCGTGCCTGTGGGTGTGTGGGCATATGGAGGCATGGGCTTGTGTGTGTGCATGTGGGTCTGTATGGGAGATGCTGGGAGTAAATCAAGGACCAAGGTTTTTGAAAGCGGGCATAAACTTAGGCCTCTAAGTCCATACTCAGGCTCCTACATAAGCCGCTTCAATTTCAAAAGTGCCGAGTAGTCAGTAGCCCCTGTTACAAAAGGAACCGCTGGCTGAGCAGCACTTCTGAAAGCCAGGCCATTTATTTAAGCAAAGGTTACTCATTATGCACTTCAGACCCAGGCTTTCCAAAGATACAAGTGAGTTTTGATTCCCAGCTTGAGACACCTTCAAAACGAACCGATTCTCAGAGGGTAGTACCCAGTACACAAACCACAAGGCACAAGAATGTATTAATCACTATAAAAAAAAAAAAGTCGTCTTCAAGGAACTTAATTTTATGCATCTGATTCTGAAACTCGCAACCCCCTGTGCCCTTGAAAAAAAAACCAAAAACAAAACAAAACCCCCAAAAGTTTCAATAATCTCAGACCAGGAGCTCCCGTCAAAGGGACTGCGATGCAGGGAGAGAAATGCTCGTTAGTCAAAAAGGATTAATTTCTAAACGGTCACAGCACTGGGTCAAAATGGCACATTTTAAAACTATGCCTCCAGTAGTGTACATCTGCTAGAAAAGGACCCCTAAGGGGAAAAATTGAAACCCCCCAAATTTGAATGACCGGGAATGAACTCAGTAGATCCATGGTCCTTTACTGGGAAATCTAGCAGGCTACCATTTCCAGGTCAGGGTCACCAACTGGGTGTCTGCTTCTCACTGGCCACAACCTTTCAGTCTGGATCACCACCTCTGTCCAATCTACTAGAGTTTGGTCCTAGATGGCAGGAAGGCAGAAGGGCTTTCTTTCCCTAGCGGGACAGGTGATGGTTGCGACTGTGAGACAAGTGCAACCGTGAACAGATCTCCTCACCAGAGAGGACAGAGAACAGCATGGATAGTTGGGGAATGGAAGCGATCACAAGGAATATTTTGCCTGCCCCAGCATTATTTGAAGGTGCCAGTTAATCAGAATTTACCTGGGGAGACTAAAATCTCTTGCAGCTCTCAGGCCAGACATGTGTTCTGGGTGGAAGAGCTTGTGTGCGTTCAAAAGAGCTGCTCCTGCTGCCATATACGATTGCAGTCCAAGTGCATTCAGAGGGGTGAAGAGCTGCTTGGTCATATCAGAAGATGGCTCTTCATACCTGCTGTGAAGTGGCTCATCTCCATGGGAAGTTCCTGAGGCTCTCACCATCCCTGTTCGGAGAATAATGAAACTCGGTGTTAGCAGCCACCTCCTGTTTTTGTCAATGCCCGGCCAGCCTCATCTAACATTTATAGAGTCTGGGATTCTCATCAGATCTCATTGACTATCTGTCAGTCACCACCTGCCACATGCTGCACTGCAAAACCCATTGAACAGCAGTGACAACCCTCACCGCTCCCTGTGCTGGATTACAGGTAATGGGGCAGGCGGGGAGCAAATAAGTTACAGACCAGGACACATAGCAAGAACTGCATGCATATGTGCACATGCATGTGCAGTACGGCATGCATTTATGCATGTGTGGATGCATTTATATTCCATACGTGTCTGAGTAAATACAAGAGGAGGGCTCAAGCACAAGCGGCACAGCTAACTGCTCTGTCTTCACCGGCTGGTTCAACACATTTCCCTCAGCTCTCCTGCAGCACGGTCCAGTAGAGAGGTCAGTCATCTGGGAGCCAGAAGACCTGGTTCCTATCGCTGCCCTGCTCTGTGATCTTAAACAAGTCACCTCCCTTCTCTGCACCTCAGCTTCACCTCCTACCTAAAAGGGGGCAAAGATTATTACCTTGCTTTTGTCAATGGGCTTGACACCTTATGTGAGAGTGGCTGTTATGCTGCCGGCCAGCACTAAAGATCATTCTGGTACAGCCATCTTAGCAACTGTTTTCTTTCAGAGGAACGTGCGGCAGACAGAAGAATGAGCCTCCGCGAAGGACTAGATACTTCAATAGCCCTGATGCAGCCTCAGTGACAGACTCCATCAAATTCACAGACACACTTTCTGATGGAGGGATTACCCCGTGCAAACCATGCCACACAAAAGCAGCAGGCTGAATGGAAGGTACAATGGGAGTGCAAACTCGGGCTAGCGAGCAGTGCACTAAGGTGGGACTTTGGAGGGCTGGCTCCTATCCTCAGCTCTGCCAGTGATGTGCTGGGCCACCCTGCGCAATTCATGACATCCGTTTCCCTTCCCAACCTTTGTCTCTTATTTAGGCTACAAGCGGGATCATCTCCCACTCTATTTGCTCAGTATCTAGCACAGTCAGACTCCAGTCTCAACTGGAGGCTACTAAACTAAGCACAAATACTAATAATTCCCTCTCTTGCAGACCCAGGGGTGACTGTGGCAGTTTAGAATAGAGATACATAAGCAAACTCCCCACACTACTCTGCCTATCTGTGGCCTTCCTGCATCTGTAGTGTGGATTTCGCTCACTGGGGTCTTATATTTACTTTAACAAAAGAAAGGCAGGAAAGCAGGCGGGCAGGCAATAAATTAGAAGATATGCTAGCTGAAGGTTCAAAATTGGTACCTACAGTGTGCACAGCCACATAAGTGTATGTGTACACACAGACGTATCTAGAGATCCTCTCCTACCCCTTTGCTTTTCAGCTTATGACAACAAAAATTATTCCTTGCTGGAAAAAAAAAAAGCAGCATTGTTGACATTAAAAAAAAGTCCTGTGCTTTGCTTGAACAGCACAAGCCGTCTTGATCAGGTGTCTAAGGTGCCTCGTTCCTACAAAGCATTTAAACCTGTCTAACATCAAAAAGTAAGGTAAGACAAGTCACTTTGATGCTCCACAGCACATGCCTAACATGATTATTGCAGAATCTTCCTGGTGATAATAGAATTATGCAAAAGAGGCCTTGACCCATTAACGCTTTTACTTTTCTTGGGATTTTTCTCCCCCCTTCTTTCGATCCTCCGAAGCAGAAATGTATTTGCACATAAATGACAACCAAACACCACGATGGAATAAGTAACGGGAAAGCTCCCAAGTCCTCCCTCTAAAATTAAAAAAAAAAAAGGGGGGGG